CTTCCACATTAGCCCAAGTCTGGGAGGCACCCTTAACCATGGGTCCCTGAACGTCGTCCATTGGAATCCCCTTCTCTGGGAAGAAGTCAAATTATGGAGCTGGGTGCCAAGCCCCACCAGCCTGCGCCTCTCCTGCAGTTTGCTCCAAGGTGGAGCAAGCAGGGAGAAACCACAAGAAGTGGAGGCAGCTGGAGCCAGCCGGTTCCCTGAGGGCTTCAGGACCTGGAATGCGATTTCTTAATTGTGAATTCATCCTGGCCACCAGCCCTGCCCCCCACCCCAAGAATCTTAGCAACAGCAGCCTGGGTCTGGGCATGATCCCGCTTATTCCTCAGGCTTAGCGTCCTCAAACAATAAATGGAAACATAGTGCCTGCCTCTTGTCTGAAGAAGCTGAGACTGGGGAGGGGTGTGCTGTCACTGGGAAGTGGACCAAGCCTGAGTGGTCACTCACAATTCAATTTGATTTTAGTCCAAATCATTTATTTTCAGGAAGATAATTCTGGTGTCCAGAAAAGAAAGTCACATCCAAGGTCACACAGCTAGAGACAGCGCTAGCTAGACCTTGTCCCTATCTCCCGAGCTTCAGCAGTAGGAGGGCATATAGGTAACTGTGAAGTTATTTGTCGCCCTGCTGTGTTATATACCCAAAGCGAAAAGCTGTGCGCCTAGGGCAGGGAAGACACTGACTGGGGCACAGAACAAGCTGGAAGCTTGCCTTGGAGATGACCCTGACTGATGTCCACCGGGCAGTTTCTAGTTGTGCACCCTTACTTAATAACAAGAGAGATAATCTCCCAGAGTGCCAGAGCTCATCTGGGGAATTTAGGGATCAGCTGGAATCAGGTTTCCAAACCCCACTCCTGAATCGCATTCCGGTATGTCATAGCCACAGGGGCCTTACACCTCTCCCACCCCCAACTGCATTCAAACCTGACCCAAAACCTTGGTGGCCTTAAATGAGGGAGAAGTTCTCAGACTGACCCCTGTGTTCTCACCTTTCCCCAAGACCTCCTACTTGGTAGACACTGGCCCCAAACCTCCCCAGACTTTTGGCACTGTCCCTCAGGTAAGCAGCTTCTTAGGACTACTCTGAGGGGCCTCCCTGCACCCCTGGGTACTTGACCTTGAAGACAATGGTGAGGCGCTGGAGGCAGAAGCCTCGGTGGACCTCCTGGCAGGGGCAGCACTGGACATCTCCGGGCCAAGAGCCGCCTAAAACTCCGGTCCCCCTCCCGCTTTCCTGCAGGGTCCAGGTGGACCCAGGGCCCGCAGGCAGAGTCCTGTGCGTGCACAGTGGATCCAAGCCCAAAGTCCTGCTTCTGAGAGGCCCAGAAGGCCGAAGGAGCGGATTCCCTGCCCCGTTGGATGGCTAGCGCCCTGGCCTAGGCCGGCACCAGAAGGCGCGCTGGGTGTCAGCAGGCAGGGCCTCTGGCTCAGGGAGCAGGCACGGCAGGGCGGCCCCGCGCAGGAGAGAAGCCCCGCAGTCCCGTCAGGAGTCCCGCTCAGGCTCGGCCGGCGCCTCGGTCCCTAGGCTGCCCGAGCCCGTCTGGTACGTCCATCTGTGACTCTGGATCTCCGCCCGTCGTGCCGTCTGGTCGCGGCTCGCTCTGTCCACCGCCAGCTCTTGGCGAGGGCGGCGGCCCACCGCGGCCCGGGCCCTGGCCTGGAGCGCCACCTCGTGGGAACACTGGGCGATGCCGCAACCCCCGCCTGCTCCCGGCGCGCCTCCGCGGGGGGTGCCGGCCAGGGGGCGCGAGGAAGAGGGGTGGCCGTCAGCTCTGGGGACCCAGAGCTTCGGGAATGGGTGAGGGGCGGATCTGCGCGTCCAAAGAGCCCAAAAGACCCCCCAAGGGCAAAACGGAGACCCAGGAGCGTTCGGACAGAGACGCCACCGCATCAGCGAGGGGTGCACAGGCGGCACTTCCGAGGGCGCTCCCGGGAGCGTGTGCAGAGACGTCCCGGGGCTCAAGCTCCTTCCGTACCCCTTACCCCGGCCGCGCTCGGGTGTCCCCGCCGCTGCTCAGTCGCCAGTGCGCCGAGCATCCCGCCTCTCGCCCCTGCCCGGCCAAGGCCCAGGACCGCGGGCGCGGAGCCCGCCGAGCAGTGGACGGAGGGAGAGGGGAGTTTGACTTCTCCACGCGGGGCGGGAAGCAGGCGAAGGTTAAACCCATCTATTCCCAAGAAAGTGGGGGGAGGTGTCGAGCGGGGGTGTTGCCTGTGGGTGTCCTGGGAACTCGAGGCTGACTGCACCCATGGGTTCCTGGAGGGCCTCACGTGGGCGCTGGCAGTGCGCGGGGGAGGCGGACCCCAGTTCCGCGCCCTTCGGCCAGGCAGAAGCAGGTGAAGAGTTCCGCGGAGGTTTGTGGCGCGAGTGTGGGGTGCGGGGGCCGGCGAGAAGGAATGACTTGGACGAGAGACACTCGGATTTACCGTGGACGAAATGAGGGTTTGTGTGGCAGCCGAGCTGCTGAGCCGCTAGGGGTTCACGGAGCCCCCCCACACACCCCCAGTCTCCAACTTCCCTGCGAACCACCCTCACGCTTCCACGCCGACAGGCGCGATTCCGCCCCGGGTTCCGGGCCCCGTGCTCAGGGCCCTGCAGCGACACCAGGTCACCCGCAAGCCTCGGCGACCCCTCAATCCCCACCACCCCAACACGCACGGCTTCCTCGGTGTCCGCGCGCTGGCGGGTCTGCCGTCGAGGGCCGCTGACGGTCGCCCTGGGTTAAAGGGTTAAAGGGTTAAGGAGACCTTCGGGCATTGGAGGAGGGGGTGCGCGGGGCGCCTGACCTAACTGGCGATGATGGGGGAACAACACGCGCTGCGAGGCTGGGGAGCCGGTGACTTAATTGGGCCGGGGAGCGGCCGGGCCTCTGTCTGGGGCTCAGCTCCCGAAGCCGCGCGCTGGCCGGCACGTGGGTGCCCCGGAGGACCGCGAGGGCGGCTCCGGGAGGGGCCGTGTGCGGAGGAAGGAGAAGTAACTCGGGAGGCTCTCCAAGGTGTGCTCGGGTCCGAGGCCCCTGGAGCGCTCACCTGCTTGGCTGCTGCAGCAATGAGGCTGCGAGAATCGGCGACGAGGTCGTCCCGCTTGGCCTTTGCTGTGACCCTTCTCGGACCCGCTCCCCACCTACCCCCTCTGCGCACCACCTGGCGTCGGTGTTGCCCCCTGGTGGTGTCAGCATCCTGGGAAGCAAGCCGCTGTGCACTCAGCCTCTCCCCAAGTCTCCTTGCTGGACAAGCTGCAGTGAGAAGCCACAAGGCACCCCTACTCTTCTAGGGGTGTTTAGAGGCTTTTTTTTTTTTTTAAGCCCAAAGCAACCTGCAATAACCACACTGTCCGCGACAGATTCTATTTGAGCTGAGACAGGGGCCACTCTGTCTGCCCTGTTCCTGGACAGCCCTTTGCAGGTCAGAGGCAGGGAAGCCAAAACCCGCCTTCCGGAGGCTGCGATAAAATCTTCTGTGCCCCCTACTCGTTCAGTGGCTGAGCCCCTTGCCGAATTCAGTGTAACCTTGGGTCAGCTTCCTTCTTGAAAGAACTGGACATGTTTCCCTTTCCTTGCAAAAACGTCAGTCCACAAAAAGTCCTGGGCACTTGGAGACCCGGATACCATCAATTCCACCTCTACCTTCACTCTTCCTCCATTTTACCATCGCGGGTGTCCTTGGTGAATTGGAAGCCAGCATCTTCAGGGCCTGTCCTCCCCCCAAAGTGCCGGAGGTAAGCAGTCCATTCCACCAGGGCATGGTGGAAAGCTAAGGCTTAAGAGGAGAGCATCGGGAAGAAGGTGGGGGGCTAAATGGCAGGCAGAAGTCGGGAAGGCACTCCTTCACCCCTACTATTAGGATTTGGGGCCAGAGACACCTGCTAGCTAGGTAAAGGGGAGACAAGATGCCTCCCCTCCTGGATCTCCCCTGGTGGCGCTGGCGGTTGAGCACAGCGCTGGGAGGCTGTCTGCAGCCTCTGCAGCACCAGTTTGATCCCCCGCCAGCCAGCGAGGGTCCCACATGGCGCAGCAGACCTCTCCTGCCTCGCCCGCTGCTCCCCTCAGCAGTGTATTTCATCAATCTGCCTGTTCTGTTCCCTGCTCTGGCTCTGGTGAATCCTCTCACCCTCCCGCGCCTCTGGCCTGTACCCCGGTTCTTGCATCAATCAATCAATCAATCAATCTTAAAAAAAAAAGATGCCCCCCTCCTGAGGATGGGGGTGTCAGGGAGCTGTCCTTGCAGGAATGGGCCTAATGGAGCCTGACACAGTGGAATACCCACCGAGAGGCCCCACTCAGTTCATTATTATACAGGGGGAAACTGAGTCTAGAAAGGGAACAGCATATTGACTCACACTCTTTACACCCACAAGAGAGATTTAGATGAACTGCAAGGGGGGATTTCCAGGCTACACCTTGCTGCTCTAATCACCAGCCCTATCATGGAGGAGATATTTCTCTTTGAGGTTCGGGGACGGGGGCAGAAAGATTTCCAGGTCTGTGAGACTTGGAAGACAGCAGCGAAATTCCTCTACCTAAAAGAGAGCGGGAGCAGGAGCACCCATCAAACCAGCCTCACCTGCTAAGAGGAGCTGAACGGGTTTCCGTTAGGGTCCCAAGAAAGGGAGTCCGGGGTCCAGGCCTCTGCCTTGCGCTTCGCCCGGCTGGGCGCCCGGGCGCGCGGCGCCGCGCGGCTGGAGAGGCGGCCAGCGGCGAGCGGCCAGCAGAGGGAGCCCGGGGCCGGGCCTGGGACGCGGCCGGGGCGGGGAGCGCAGGGGACTAGAGGCGGCGCGGCGCCTCCAGGCCCAGGCCGTGGCCCGCGCGGGCACCTCCCGGCCTCGCGGCTGCGCCAGCCTCCCCAGCCTCCCCGCCGCCCGGGGGTGCAACCGCCGCGGAGCCGCGGGCGCCCCAACTTCGACACCCGCCTCCAGTCCTTGCAGACGCGCTCGCTGCGCCCCAGCCCCGCGCGGCCCACAGAGCGCACAGCGCCGTCCACTTCGCATTGTTTTATGCGTTTTATTGTTTTCTCGAGTTTTTGTCGTTTCGTCTCGCTCCGGAGCGAAAAGTGAAAACCTGAGGTGGAGCCCGCGGGCCGGGCGAGCCAAGCCCGGGCGGAGGGGCCGAGGGGGTGGCGGGGTGGGAGCTCCTGCGGTGCTCGGGGGCCTTCGCCTGGGGCGAAGGGACACCCCGCCCCTCCCCAGCCCTGTACAATATAGATGCTCATGTAAAATGAAAAAAAATTAAATGCTATGAGTTAATCTCTAAATATTATGTACACAACAATGTACACCTTTGAATAAATTAATACCAATTTGCATATTCTGGGAACCTTAAAGCTTATTTACACAAATTACCATTTATTTCATAAATATCTTTTTCTCCCTGGGAACTCAAGGCAGAAGTGCCATCCCTCCGCTGCCCCAGGGGTGGGAGGGCGCCTGTCTCTTGGGGGAAGAGGTGGGAGGACTAGAAGAAAAGGTCCCCTCCCATCTCAAGTCTGCACTGACTTCTGTGTCCACTGACCTTAGTATCCCTCACCCCAGATTCTCAAGCGGTCCAGGCCCAAGGCTATGGACTCGGGGGCTCTCTCTGAAGCTCCCACCCGTGACCCCTGCACCTTCTGACTCCGGAACAACTGCTGGGCAGGGAAGGAGGCCTCCCCACAGCACTGGAGGGCCAGGAGAGGCATCTGGCAGATGCCACCTTCACACTGGAGCAGATCTGGACCTAGTCCAGTGACTCCAAAGCGACTGTATTCTGGCAGCTGGATTCCTTGTGAGGCCCAGGGAAGGGTCCCAGGCCCAGGCTGGCTGGTCAGGGCTCTATTCTGGCTGCTGCAGCCCGCTTTTGCTCCTTTATTTAAATAAATACCCATTCTGTGCTGTACAAGTCCCAAGCAGCAGGGGCAGGCAGCCCGTGTGGCCTGCATGGCATTGGAGCAGCTGGACGGCCCCCTCACTTGGGTGACTCCCGGCCAGGGGAGAGGGCTCGCTGGCTCTCCAGCCCACTCACCAGTCTCTGGATGCTCTGCAGTTCACTGGCTGCCTCTTTGGCTGAGCCGCTGGGCGATAGGGCACCTCGGGATGGGGCTCCAACTTTGCGGAGAGGCAGCTCGGGCAGGGGGCTGGGTTCCCGGCTGCTGCTGCCTGCAGCCTTGGATCCCTCTGCTGCCAGCCCAGTGGTGAGGAGGCTAGTGCTAGGTGGAATGGTGACTGGGATCTGGTAGGGGCTGAAGCGCAGGCGGGGCCGGGCACTGCCCAGGAAGGGGCTCCGGGACAGGGAGCCAGCAGCAGCAGCCGCTGCAGCTGCGGCACTGGTGGCTGGCAAAGCGGAGGCTGCTGCTGCAGCTGCTGCCATGTAGGTGTAGGGGTAGGGGAAGAGGCCTCCGAAAGTGGGCATTGGGATTCCCTAGAAGAAAGAGAACAAAACAAAGGTTAGGCATTCTACCTGAGGTCTTCCTGAGGGTGAGCTGGGGGCTGAGGCTGGTGCTACAACTGGGATCCCTGCCCTACTGTGTACTGGACTTATGGTCGTAAGACCAGAACTCACATAACTGTAACCCTGAGCAGCACAGATAAGCAGACCTATGGCCAAACCCAGGTGGAAGGGGAGCTCACGTCAGGTGATTATGCAAAGACCTGACTCTATCAAGCGCTGTGCTGGGGATTATAGTAGGAGGAAGGGAAGAACATTCCAGGTGGCTAAACTAGCATGGACAAAGGCCTAGAGGGAGGAAACAGGGCAGGCATGGGGCCAGGTGGGAGTTAGGCAGCTTTGGTTTTCTTGGGAGAGTCTGTTCGCTTAGAACAACATCCTCCCCAGTTCTTCTGGGGGTGGGGGGCTTTGTAAATTCTCTTGATGCCTGCCCACCTGCCAAGGGGGCTCCTGCCTGGACAAAGCAAAAAGTAGAGGTGCAGATCAAGTCATAAACTGACCTGAATATTCCACAAAGAACATTTGTATTAGCACCTATGTGGCAGCAGGGGAAGAAATGCTGTTTTTGCCTGTGGCGAGCACAGGAAACCCTGGATAAACACCACATAAGTCCATGAGACCCGACTTTTGGATTACCTGACCTTTGAGATAATGGCTCACTCCCTAGAGAGTGTGGATACAGGAGGAGGGCAAGGAGCTGCCTGTGCCCAGCTTCCAGGGAGTCTCAGGACTGGCTCAGGCAGGGGGAAGGAAAGAAGTAGCTTAGTCAGGAATGAGAAAATATCCTTCCTGTGAAGGTCAAGCTCTGCTGGTATTTCAGATCTGGCATCCCAAGTCAAGAGAAAGGAAGGAGGTTTTAGAGCCCCCAGGATTTGGCTCTACCTGCTGACCAGGTGTATGCTACATTGACTTGGAACTTAACCACTAGTAGTACACCAGTGAATGCTTCCTGAGCCCTGGGGACGCTCACCCTCGCCCTGCACCTGTTGGCCAGGTTGTGTCTAGAAGTCCTGGCTTCCCAGGGCCTCTAAGATGCCTATAGTCATCTCTAAAATTTGGGGTGAAGGCATTCATATACACACAGAATCAAGGGTGCAGATTAAGCCTCCAGGCCCTGAACTCCATTTTCTGAAGTCTTCCCTGCCTGCTCGGAGCTGCAGATATGTAGTGTTAGTGCCCTGAACACTCACTCCACACATCTCGGACACTGAGTTCTACTTAAAACTCATTTCAGAATCCCCCCACACACACACACTCACACACATATTAAAAATATTTTCTTCTGAACCAAAGAAGACTTCACAGACCCGAACTCCTATTTTCCTACCCTTGCGATAAGATCTCAAGGGTTCAATTTGCCAGAAACCTCAGAGGGAAGAAAATGAATGAAGAGATTCCAAATCTTTCCACAGGGAATATTCCACCCAACCAACCAAAGGCTGCTCTCCCCTTTGAATCTCATTTTGTTGCTGACTACAGTTTCATAAACTCTCCCTTGGGAGCTCAGAATTTCAACCTGGACCCTAGGAACTGAGCCTCTGCTCCCTGAGATGTGTAACTGGGGGAGATTCCAGACACAGGTGGGGAAAGGAGCAGCCCTGTCTTTTGTTAGGTCAGAGGATTTCCTGGAGGGCCTGAAAGGGGGCAGAGGTTTTCTGGGAGGTGGGTCACTTTGGTGACTAACTGTCCAGAACATACGACAAATTTTCTTACTCTTTGTCCAGACACTTAGACTTTCAGGGTCTGACAGTGAGTCAAGGGCCTTTGTTCCCCCCCCAAAAAAGTCCTATGCTAGGAGGGTGGACTTTATGAAAGCTGCTGGCGACCCCAGATTGTCAGAGTAAGAAGAGTCTAATGGGAGTCTTAGCTGGAGTCACAGACAAGGAACCGGCTGGGGAGGCTCAGGGATTTGCCCAAGGTCAAAACTGGACTCAGAAGCAGTGCCCTGGGCAGACCCTGGACCTACACCTTAGTCTCCACAAACCCAGGTGATGTTGAGAGGTCCGTCAGGTCTTCTCCGGGACAAGCTTCTTGCCCACTGGAAGCCCGGAGTGCCTATGGCCCCCCTCAAGTCCTCAGTTGCCCCCCTCCCCAATACTGCCGCCAGATCACAGGCCTTACCTGAGATGCCAGCATGTGCTGGGAGAGGTGGAACGGGAAGGGCGCAGCGGTGCTCGCCGCGCTGGCCGCGGGACCCAGCCCGCCTGCATCCAGCCCGGTGGCAGCCCCCGGCCCGCCGGCTCCTCCGTTGCCGCTGCCCGCCACTGAAGCCAGCAGGTGACCCATGCCCATGGCCGAGAAGGCTCCGGGGCCCATGGCAAACTGTCCCGGGTGCAGGAAGAGCGGCTGGCCGGCTCCCAGCGGCCCGAAGAACTGCTGCCCGTGCAGGTGGCCCGAGAAAGCCAGGCCCGGCAGGTGTCCGGCGCCCAAGGGGGACGCACTGTCTGTCTGCACCACCAGTGGCGCCAGGGCAGGCTCCTTGCCCTCGCCGGCCTCCTTGCGCCCCTCGTCCTTCCGCCGGACCTCGGCGCGCTCCTTCTCCAGGCTCCGCAGGCCGAATGCCGCGTCCGCGCCGCTCTCGGTGGGGTCTTTGCCCCTGTCGGGGCTGCGCCGCTCCCGCGCGCGCTCCGGCTCGGTCGAGCGAGGGGGGCTGCCGTCCAGCGCCGGGCTGCGGCCTAGCGCGGGCCCCGCGCGCTCCTCGGCCAGCCGCTCGGGCTCGGGGTCGCTCTCCGCGGCGCTGGTTTTCTCCTCCGCTGCGGGGAGAGGGACGCGCGGGGTTACGCGCCGGGAGGACGCGGGCGGGAAGCCGCTGTCGGGTCTGGGCGGGGTGGCGGAGACTTGAAAAGGGCTGCTGCAGGGGCAACTTAGGCCGAGGGGCCACCGGCTCCCTGCCCATTTAGGGGCCGCTGCAAGTCGCCTAACCCACGCCGCCCCATCTAGAGTGGGGGAAATTGGGCCCCGTAGAGGATTCTTCACTGCCACAGCCGCGCACCACACCCGGGGGCCAGGCAGAGCGCGCAGGGCTTCCTCTGGCTGCGCGGGACCGTGCGCGCTGGGGAGACCTGGCTGGAAGGTCCATCCGAGAGGCACTGCTTGGTGCTTCCCGCGGGGCTTTAAGGTCAGTGGGTCGCAGAGCAAAGGCAGCAGGCGGCCCCAGGAGACTCTCCTCTCCCCTTGGTGGTCCCACTCCTGGTCCGATCACCCGACGCTCACCTCGGACCCTGTGCAGGCGCAGGGGGCTGGGGGCTGCTCCCGGGGAGAGCGGCGGCTCCCGAGCAGGGGGAGGGTCGCAAGACGAGGCGTCTGACTCGGCGCCGTCGCGCTCCGGCTTACAGTGCTCCTCGTACAAGCGCAGGGATGGCAGCGTCAGCTGCTTCCTAGGGACGAGCGGGGAGCGGGTCAGGGGGTCTCCCTCCTCTCGCGCGCGCTCTCTCATACACGCGCACACACTCACGTCCTGCTCCCTCAAAGGGCCCTCTCGCGCACGCCTTACCTTTTTTCCCGGCGGCCATTCCCCGTGTCCCTGAAGCCCTTGGCGAACGGGTTGTTGTCGATCTTCAGCTGCGTGATCTGCGGGGATCGGGATCGAGAGGCAGCGCAGGGTCAGGACTGGCTCTTCCAGCCTGGCCTGGGGCACCCCGACGTCAGCGGCTGCTGACCCAAAGGAGAGACCCGGGAAGTGTCCCCTGGGAGCCTACTGCCTGGGATAAGATTTCCCTGAGCTGGTAGGCCTCTCCGAAAGTGACTTGGTCTCCCCTCCAAAAACTTTTGTTGGAGGAATGGTCCCTTCATTTGCACACACAGACCCCAAACTGTGCTCACAGAGTCAAAATCTGCTTTAGCACAAACACAGGCCCAGCGGCCACTCAAGTTTAACAAACCTGGCTCCTGAGCAGGGGCGCACAAGGAGCAGAACACACTCGTGTCCAAAGGCACACGGGCGGCAAGTCACGCCCACGGCCCCACGAAAGTACACACAGACCAAAACCCCCTACAAGCCCCTAAGCTCCCACAGAATCAACTGAATCCACACTCCTCCACAACTATCCCAGGCGTCCCAGAGGGTGTGCACTCATACTAGCGTCTACACAAAGGCAGAAGGAACAATCCTCAGGACATTCAGACACTCTCCTTCGCACGAAAGTGGTGCACACGGGCACAGGCCTAGTGGGGGCGATGCTTTGCCCCTTTAGAGACAGGGTGTTGAAAGCCAGAAACAGAAAAAGCCCTTAAACTTGAAGGAAAAGTTTCTAGGCGCCTCTCAAGAGGTCTGAGGCCAGGCGACTGATTGTGTTACCTGCCCACCCTCTGGCTCCCCAGGAGAGTGAAAACTGTGCTCTGGGTTCCTAACTTTGGGTTCTTAGGGTTGGGAGAGCCTGGGCAATAGCCTCCCGAGCCCTCTCTTGATTTACATTCCCAACACTGCGCCAAGAAATAAACGAATAAAATGTAAAAATGTCAGCGCAGTCTGAAGTTTCTGCCAATTGCTAAGTAAACATCCCCACCCCAAGCAGCGAGCAGCTGTTCAGAGCCTCTGGGAGCCGGGGTGTGGGTGTTCGCGGGCTCAGAGGGAGTCTGGGGGATTTTGGTGGGTGCTGCCTTTTCGGACATAAGGCTTGTGCTTGTGTGTGGTGGTGAGGGTTCCGGGTGATGTGGGAGTTGCGGGGGCGGGGGGTGGGTTTGAGTGGATTGGAGCTGCGCTGGGTAAGGGGTGGGGTAGAGGAGTTGGGTGCAGGGGCCGAACCCAAGACCCCCCAAAGCGCACCTTGTCATTTTGGTAGGCGGTGACCGCGATGAAGTCCGTCTCAGGGAACACGTAGGTGCGGAAGGTGCTGTAGGGCAGCTTCAGGATGTCGTTGGCTCGAACGATGTGGAAGCGCGGTTGATACTTGTGCATGGAGTTCAGGATGGTCTGCGGAGAGGGCGTGGGTCAGTGGCAGCCCCCAGCCTTCTCAGGAGCATTTCTACTCCCTGGGGACCTTATGTCTTCCTGTCAGTCTTCCTGTCTGTCTCACTGTTGCTTTTTCTCTCTGCTCTACCTTCTTCACCCTCCACCCCCCCATTCTTCACTGTTTCCTCCTCTCTTCTTTGCTCTTTTTCTTGCCACTCACTTTTTTCCCTCTTGCTTTTCTTTCTCACAGTCTCTCCCCTTTCCCCAGCTGAAAACAGAGATAGCAGAATAAAACTAAATAACACTCCCATAATTTCACTCTTAGCTTCTCTTCCTGGTTCATTGCTAAGCTCTGGTATCACCATGGAGAGAAGACTGGAAACTCTGGGGCTCACCGAATGCCCTACCTTGGAATGGACAGTACCTTTGCCCACAGACTCTCCCCTCCATTTACTGCCCCCCCCCATTGGAAACAGAACCCCCCAACCCCCTCCCTCTGGCCAGGCATCTATCTGTGGGAGAAGGGAAAAGAGCCTCAGAGAGATTGTAGAGAGAACTGGTTTAACTTTTAAATTTCCAAGTTTGGGGAAAGGGATGGGAATAAGCTGTGACTGTGGGTAAATATTCACTTCACTCCACGATCAGCACCTAAAGGCCAAGAGCAGAACCACTGAACCCCTGGAGCACCTGCCTCCTGCTTGACTCAAGAAAGAGGGTTAGAAGGCCAGACTCCAACTGAGATTATGAGTAGTCTGGACCATACCCGCTGTCCACCCCACCATTCCCAAGGCTAGCAGAATGGAGTCCTCTGGGCGCAGGCCCAGGTGGGGTGGTGACCCAGGGGCACTCTGGGGGTTCAGCAGTACTCCACTCCAGGGAACTACAATCTTGCTCTCCCAGTGCAGTGCCAGGTACTCAGTCTCTGACGCCCATCCCCGTGCCTGTCCTGCACTCACAAAGCCGTGCTTGTCGGAGATGTTGTTGGTCAGCTTCAGCTTGTGGAAAGCCACAGGCTTGGCCATCCACTGCTCCCCCGTGGCTGGGCTGTCCGGGTGGATGTACATGCGTTTGGGCATCTCTGGGTCTGCCTTGCCTGCCACCATCCAGCGGGAGTTATGAAACTTATACCGGCAATCATCAGCCGCCACAATGTCCATCAGCAGAATGTATTTGGCCTTCTTATCCAGGCCGCTGACTCGTACCTTGAAGGGAGGAAACATCCTCCTGCGAGGAAGAGAAAGGGGAATGTTCTTATCTGTTTATCCAAGGACCCCTCTCACACTACCCGCCCCCCACAACTGTCTGGAGGTTTCCCAGCAGTGTTTCCATGAGGTAGCTTGTTGGACTCCTTATCCCCTTGCGGTTGTTATTCCCAGGTGATCCCATTTCTGCCCATCAGACCCCCTTACTCTAAGGCTTCCCATCGGCCCTACACTCAGATCTGGTGACCCTGGCTCTCCCATCACCTGAAATGAAAGTCAATGACCAGAAAATAAATCCAAGCCCTCCAGAAATACAGCCCCTTCTCTTGAATCTCCTGGAAATTCGTTGGGGGATATACCCACTTGGTACCTAAACTCCCAGAAATAAATTCAGAGGATGTTTGCTGGGGGAGCTGGGTTACCGCAGCTAGAGTGAGCAGGCACCCTAACACTAAAGTTCGGGGGAAGAGGGTGATCCTGAGGTCTACATTCTCCCTGGCCGAGCCTCGGGTGTTGGGAATAGGGATTACGGTTTTCTTCAGGCTTTAAAGCCCGTTGTGGATCTGGAGCTATTGGCTTCTCTGCCCGACAAGGCTCAGGGTCAGGTCAAGTTGCGGGCCGGGCGGATAGGAGCTCGCTGCAGGGGCGCCACAGCCAGAGCGAACCCCAGGCCGACCTCGGCCTAGTGGGATGCGAGTCCGATTCTGGACTTCAGGGTCGGAGGAGCGTCCAGGAGCCGCTGCCTCTCCTCGGAGCTCGGAGTCAGACCCCGCGGCAGGCGAGGACGCCTCCGGGCAGAGGGGTTCCAGCGCAGACCCCCCCCCCCCCCCCCCCCCCCGGGCCGGGCCGAGCCGCGGGGCCCTCTCGGCGCCGGGACTCAGAGCACTTGGGACTGTTCTCTGGGTGCATATTTTCGTTTTCCTTCTTTCGGGAGGTTTCGGTATTTTAGTTTTTAAAAAATTCGCCCCGGTGCCAAGAGACAAAAGTCAACTGGGTTGCCCAGGGCGCTCAGCGTGGCGCGGGGGCCGGGCGCGCGGGGCGCAGGGCAACGGGCTCCGGCCGGCCGGCGACGTGGGGTCCCCCGCCCGCCGCCCGCGCCCGCCGCCGCCCTACCTCCCGGACTTGGTGATGACCATCTCGGTGCCCAGCTTGTGGAACTGGTCCCACAGCTCCTTGGCCTCCAGCGTCACCTTGGGGTCGTCCTCCACCTCGTCCTCGGGCTCCAGGCTCTTGAGCGAGCGCAGATGCGCGGCGGGCGGGTGCGGGCCGAGCGCCGAGACGTGCAGCCCCGCCTCGGCCGCCGCGGCCGCCGCGGCCGCTGCGGCCGCCGCCCCCGCCAGGCCCGGGTCGGGCAGCGGCTTGGCCAGGGCGCCGGGCGGCAGCGCGAGCGCCGGGAAGAAGGAGGGCTGCGCGGCCGCCAGGAAGGCGGACATGGGGAAGTCGGCCGGCCGCGGCGCGTGGAAGGGGTGGTAAGCCATGGCGCTGGCCGCCAGCGCCGGCTCTCTCATCGGGACATCCGGCCCGGGCGCCGGGGAGCCGGGGCCGGGGGCGCGCGGCTCGGACCCCCGGCCCGGGCGGCGGCGCGCGCGGAGGAAGGGCGGCCCTGGCGGCGGGCTCGGCGGCGGCTCCTCCCGGCTCCCCGTCCCGCGCGCGGCCGGGGGCGCGGGGCTCGGGGCGCGGGGGCGGCGGGGGCGCTGCGCCGGGCTGGGCTGGGCCGGGCTGGGCTGGGCTGGGCTGGCCCGCTCCGGCGCCGGGGACCACGCGCGACTGGTGAGATCTTGTCGTGATCTCTGGAAAACTGTGACTATCTCACATGTCCTGCCCTGCTCGGGTCCCCTGCGCTAACGAGCCAGGCCCCCCTTGATTGCTGATTTTACGCTTTTTGGACCAATTGTGGGTCTCCGGGGGCGGGGTTTTGACAGCTCAGGCCAAGCTCCGGCCGGGAGGGGGGGCCGGGGAGAAGGTGTCGGAAGCCTCAGCAGTAAGAAAACATGTCAACAGAATAAAATATTAACCAATGACGGGCCGGCGGGCCCCGAGACCCCTCCCCCTGGCCGGGCCCCCACCCTGCCGCCCGCGCCCGCGGCCGCCTGCGCCGGGACGCGAGAGCTCGGCTGGCCGAGCCGACCCGCCGAAAGGGCCCGAGGCTGGGGGCGCCCGGGCCCCCGCACCCTGGGAAGGACCCCCAGCCGCACGTCGGCCCCAAGTGCAAAGCATTGACACGGCCCGGAGGGCGGAGGGGGCGGGCGCCCTCCTCCCCCCGCGCCCGGCCGCCCGGCCGCTCGGGCCCGCTCCCGGCTCGACTTCCGACCCCGCTCCCCGCCGCGGCGCCGCCCGGGCCCTGCCCTCGGAGGGCGGCTGCGGGCGCTGGAAAGCGAGGCGCCGGCGGCGGAGGTCCCCGAGCGGAACCCAGGTGGCGGGAGCCGGTGAGTGGAGCTGCGGCCGAGCCCCGGTCCGGGCGGCGTGGGAGGGGGCGCGACGCGGCCCTGCGCTCGGGACCGCGGGAACCCCGGCCGGCGCCTCCCCTTACTGGAAGACTCAGGAGGAACCTGGAGTTCCGGGCAAGTCCTGGACTTAGACCAGCATCCGTCTGCGTCCCCACCCCAGCCCTGGGCCGCGCTGGTGGCAGAGCCGCGCTCCGGGCTGGGAAGGTGAGCGCGCACCTTCTGCCCAGCCCCGGGCTGCGTGGCGCGGGCGAGGCCGCTTCTCAGGTTCTTGACCCGCGACCAAACGAATTTTCGCCGCATCCGGTACGGGAGACACAAGTCCCTTATCCTAAACACCAGCATCCTTTCTCCGCTTTCCGCCACTTTCCTAGAGTTTGCTCTGCCCCCGGAAACCTACTTCTCCCAAGTTCAGTGGCGCCGAATAAGGCGTGTGGGGCTCCAAGTGTCTGTGTGCACCTGTGCTTGAAACCTGCCCCCACCCTCACCCCCACCTCCAGTTTTCGTCGCCAGCAGCACCAGCATTTTTTTTCCCTTCCCGATGTGCTCTGTGTGTGTGTGTGTGTGTGTGTGTGTGTGTGTGAATCACTCCCAGTGTGATGGTGGCCTATGTGCACAGAGGAAGCCGCAAGTTAAGGCGTGCGTCCAGAGAGAAGCGGCCGCACACCTGCCTTGAGCTGGGTTTGGGCGTTGACGCTCGGATTAATTCTTGGCGCTCGAATTCCGAAGGACAAGACGGACCACGCGCTAGCCCCGGGGGACAATCCTGCCGACACAACCATTGCCTGTGCGGGTGAGTTCGGCCCGCGCGGGGCCTGTGCCCGCGTGTTGTGCTCCTACCACCCACGGGCAACACTGGCCCAGGCAACCCTGTGCCCATCGCTGTGCAGGGGACCTTGTAGCTAGATGCACACTCGGACTTGAAGCCTAAAGTCTGTCGCCCCAGGCAGCATAGGTTCAGGACCCACCCGAGCAGTTTGTCTTCTTCCACCTTTTCCCTACTTTTCCTAAGCGGCTACTACCCAGCGCAAAAATGGGCACGCCCCCCACAGGGTTTTCTTCACGACCTCGCCCTTGGCTGGGTTGCTCCCTCTTAGGCTGGGTGCCTCCTCTCTGTACAGAACGAATCTTCGATTCCGCGTTGCATAGTCTACACAGCGGGTTAGGATCCGTTGCAGCTTTGCATAGGCAAACTCCTGCCGCCTCCACCTTAGGCGGGATGTGGCCCCTGGGGCGGGACGTGTGTGGACAGGTTTGCTCAGTCGGCGAGATTGACTGACAATACTAAGGCAAGATTCTTTAGCCGGGAATCCGGGTAGAGGTCTGGAAATCCGTGAATACACTTGCAAAGTCGTGTTTGCACACGTACTTTCTTACTTGTAGGTATATGTGTGCACCTAAGTGTGTGCAATTTTGTATGTTTTCCTGGCAGAAGGTTGTAGCTGGTCCAGGGGTCTAAGGCCAGAAGATTTGAAACACGTTCGCCTTGGTTGTTTGCTCAGGAAACCTGGTGGCGTCGGCGCAGCAGCTGCATTTAGAGACCAAGATCCTACCTGGCCACAGCCACTGGGGCACGGATGTGCCCTCGGGCCCCCACAGGCTCTTTCTGGACCAGGCCCCCACCCTCTGCCCCGCCCCGCCGTCCTGCAACCCCTGGACGTTCTGCTGCAGCCGCTCTCAAAATTATGAATCTGTCCCCCAATCAAATTCTCCAGCGAGAAATATCCTTGGCTATCGAAAACCCGCTCAGGGGAGGCCCAGCCAGCCCCGGAGCGGCGCCTTGCGGCGCCCAGCTCCCGCTCAGCCCCTCCCCCGCCTGGGTCAACCCCCTTTTCCCTTCCCGGGAAATTTGCGCCACTTGGGGGGGGTCCCCCGGGCTAAGAGTGCGTGTCTCTTTAAGAGGCCCCCCGGGGGGGCGTCTTGAGAGCCGCCCGGGGCTGGAGGGGGAGGGCGCGGACGGGGGCGGCTGGCGCCAGGCGGCCCAGGCTCCACAACAAAGCTCCGGCCCCTGTCACTTTGCATCGGCCGGGCCCCGCAGACGGGCGGGGGACGCGCGCTCGGCCGCCCCCCCTCTCCCTGGCCGCGCGGGGCCTGGGCGTCGGGCGGGCGCGGGCCCCGGCGTCTCCCGCACGCTGGTGCGCTCAAGCCACTGCGCTTTCCACAGCAAGGAAATCTGCCTGGGGCGGCCTGGGCTGGGCGGGACAGCCCCGAACCTGGCTCCCCAAGCGTCCTTTCGTCCCCTAGCCTTTCGCAGGGTCCAGAACCCCTGCCTGGACCTTTCCCGGGGTGGTCCCCGCCGCTTCCTTGGGGCTGTGTGTCTGCGCGTGCATCGCGGAGAGCGGGTGGCCTGGGGATGTACGGTCGTGTGGCGGAGGGGGGCAGGCATTCTGGTAACGGGGTGCTGGTGAGAGACTGGCACTTGTGTATGGGCGTCCCCAGGCGGAACCTCAAGTGAGGTGACTGTGGTCCTAGGCGGGTGACGGGCCGTGGCGGTGCCGCCGAGCGCATCCGTGCGAGTCTAGACGTGTTGGAGGGTGGAGGTGGGGGAGTAGAGTTGCTTCCCCTATTGGCTTCCTTGGGACCCGCACCTCCCCGCGCCTTGGCGCCAGCCAGCCCGGTTTAGCTGCCGGGCCGGGCTCCCCGCGGGCCCGGGCCTGGCTAGGGTGGGGGCCGCGGCCTCGCTGACCCCGGCCCACAGCGGCCCGGCGTGTCCCGTCCACTTAGACAAATTGCGGCTGACAGGCGCGCAGTCTCTCTGGAGTCGCGCCCGCCAGTCGCCTCCCTCCCGACCCAATTACTCCGTGCAGGGTCGGCCGACTGGCTGGGGCGGGGGGCGGGGGTTCCGGGGAGAGCGCGCAGTGGCTCCTGCCTTGCGCCTACGCCCGGGACAGCGCCGGGGCCACTTCTTCCCGGTTAGGTCCGGGAAAGTGCCTTGGCAGCCACAGTCTAGTCCTTAGTCTTCCAGGTTGATGCCAAGGCAAGGCCCGGCTTGGCCGCCATGGCCCGGGACAGCTTGGCGCTCTAAGCCTGCAGCTCTGCACCTGAGGGTGAGGTTCCGCGTCTGGCAACCGAGGATGCGCCCGGCCAGACTTCCGACGACTTCTCCAGTTTTGAGGATCCCGTCGTCCTGGGAGCTCCAGGCTATTCGCCGCTCCGGGGTGGGTGTCCCTGCGCAGCGGCCGTCCGCTTAGACCCCGGCAGTCGGCACAAGTGAGGTGCACGGCTGTGAACCTGCGTGTGCGTGTGCGTGCACGGGTGTGAGATTATGGGTGTGGGTGTCTGGAATCGCGGCAGGACATGCTGCAGTGTGGCTTTAGAATGGGGTGGTGAGATTGGGGGGTGCAACCCGCAAGAAGGACCCCCTAGGACCAGCCCACCTGTGAGAGAGGGCGGGGCAGGCCTGTGCGCTTTCCATGGGCTCCTGATTCGCTTTCAGAAATGCGTTCGCAGGGAGCGGGGCTGAGTTCCCTGGAGCAGCTTCAGGGGGCAGCGTGCCACAACCCGGGTTCCAGTTGCACCACACCCACCCTCTCTCTCCACTGAAGAGCTGCCTGCCCTGTCAGGTCAGCTACCTGCTGGCCTGTGAATCAAACCTTTGCCTCTTGGACCTGCAATTTCCTCTTTGCCTGCTTTTCAACTTTAGCTCCGTGGAGGAGGATGCAAACCACCTCTCCCTCCACGGGTTCTCCCCCATTACAGATGAGAACCTTGAAGCCCAGAGATGCAATAATTCACCCGAGGTCACACAGCTACTGCAAGGCCTAGCCCACTCCTTAGAAGATGGTATTGCCATTGCTGTCCCTAGCTATCCACGCTCTTACCATGGCAATAGTGAGCTCACCATCAGGCTGAACTCTTGCTTTGAATACGATGTATAACATACTCTTTCTTTGTCCCAAGAGTTTCCAGCTCTGCAGGAAAGGACTGCATCCTCAGTTACACAGGGACTAGGTGCAGCTTCAGAGTCAGGCACTGAAGAGGTAGGGGGTGGAGGTGAGTCAGGGAGGGGGGTGAGTGGGACTCAGAGTCTTGGGGACACAGGTCTGGGAATTCAGCAAAGCAGGCCTTCAAAGAGAATGAGCCAGAATATGTGAGGCAGAAAGGTGCTGACAGGGATCAGCAGACTAGCTGCGTGACTTCCTAATCTTGGCCAAGGCCCTGGTCTTCTCTAGGGTTTAGGCTCCTCATCTGCAAAATGGGGACAGAATGGCACTCTCCTCGGTACCTTTCTGTTTACAGATTCTTTGACCTGTGAAAGTCAGAAAAATCGGCACTGAGAAACCATGTCCAACTCAGACTGGCAGTGGCTGCTCTGCCCCTGCTGGTGTCCAGAGGAGCTGGTGCTGGTGTTGGACAGAGTGCTTATGCACCTGAACTGGCCTTGGGACCCCGGGCCCTTTTCTTGAATCAGACCCACAGTGCCTTACCTCCTTGAGCTGCTGCCCCAGCAGCTCCATCAAACCGAGAGAAACTCCAGAGTAATTTGCCCACTGAGCAGGGAGCTCTGTGAGAATCAGAGAGGTCAAATGGCTTCCTCAAGGTCACCTGGCCAGGCCACAGTTAGATGCACATTTTGATGGCCTCCTCGGTGATGCCATCAGTCTGGAGCTCTGGAGGTGAAGTAGAGTGCTCTGGGCATTATCTGTGGGGGATAGGAAGCTGGCTGCTCCAGGGCCAGTGGACAGAAAGGTCCCCCGCTCTGGGGCCCAGCTCTCACTTCCAGCTGATTATAGGCTGTGGCAGGGTCCACAGCCTCCCCAATTAGCTGGGGGCCAGGCCCAAGGCCTCTCTGATAACCTGAGCTCCAGTGGCAGCCGCCATGGGGCCAGCTTATCTGGCCTTTCTTATCCTCCCCCTTCCCCCACATACTCAAAGAACTGCCCTGGCTGTGAGCAGATGAATAACCAGATTGTCCTGCAAGCTCAGCCAGCAAGTCCAGCCCTACACCCACCACTTTCCCTGACTGGAGGAGGCCACAGCTGTTTTGCACCCCCTGGAGGGAAAGGCTGAGCCGGGAGGACTCCTGAATCGAAGCTGCCAACTGGTTCCCTCAGTGGTTAGGGGGTGCTCCTGGCTCTCCATCTTTGCTCCATCCAGATGTCCTATGGGCACCGTACACAGGTGCCTGGTGCCCTGTCCCTTTTTGAACGCAACACTGCTCTGGCTGAGGGTGCCAGACACATGAGCATCTCCACTCTGGCTGAAATGGAGGAGAGCTGCTGCTTATCCAGCAGCCTCCCCGGGCTGTGCTCAGGCCTCTTCAGCCCTCCTTCCGTTCCCAACAGGCCTCGCTCTGGCATGTGATTTCTCACCCCGAAGGCTCCCAGGCAGGAGCGACTGGCTTCAACCACCCAATGCAGGGCCGACTACTCAGCCTACAGAGCTTAGCGTGATCCAAGTGCCCCTTCTCCCAACATGCCCAACTGATCAGGTGGAGGCAACTGAAGATTAAATCTCTTCCCAGGTGCCAAGGTTGGATGGAGTGCATGTGAAGGGGGCAGGCAGCGGCCCCAGGAAGTGCCCCAGCTCCAGCTGAAGGGCTGAATGGGAAGGTCTGCTTGTTTGTGAACTCAACTGTTCTGCGGCTGGTACATTAAACTTCACCCCAAACCACATCTGACTCAGTGGATTTTCTCCAATCCTTTCAGGTCTCTCCAGTGTCTGGGGGGGAGGGGGAGAACTAGAGCAAGCATAGTTTCCTTCCTGCTTAGCACCCCTTTTTGCTTCTCTGTTCCTGCCTCCTGGCTGCCATTTATTTTAGGTACAGAACTGGGAGGAAAGAGGGGGACAAAATCAGGAAATTATCATGTGAGGTTCCAGTCCGGTTTCACGAGACACCCACCTTCACCTGACCATCCTTCGACCTTCTGGGTTTGGAAAAGAGGCCATGACAAGACACCCAGCCCTATGAATTGGCAAGAGGCTTCTTCAGGCTCTCTGTCCCACAGCAGCCCACCAGCACGTGCCAAGGCCCCAGAGTCAGGCTTGGTCCAGGCCCGTCACACTCCTAGAAATGCCTTGCTCTGGTAACAAGCAAGAAGACTCTCTTCTTCTTACCCTCACTGACACTCCACGGCCCCCCGCCCCTCCCAGTTCCACGTATCGGTAGGGGTGTTGGGAGCAGGGACACAAGATCAGGCCCACGTGACTCTGCTCAGCACTTGGAGAAGATCTTGACCCCAGCAATTCAGGAATGGACACCAATTGCAGCGTGATTTATTGGACAAGACGTGCACTTTTGACAGGGTCTCAGCAACCACAGTTTCCTTCACTGAATAGTACAGGACCAGGGTAAAAGGGCTTACAGATAAGAAGACAAATCCTTCCCATGAGCCAAAGGGGAAAGAAAGGAGGAAAGTGGACTTCTCCTTCCCTAATACTCCAGGCCTCAGTTCACCCCAAGCCAGAGGGAGGTTGGCCAAGGAAGCAGGGCAGTGTGTGCACGGCCAGGAACAGGCTAGGGCTGTCTGCTCAGGGTCAAAATGCCTGGCCAGGGCACCCACCCTCTCCCTACCCAGGCCCCCTGTGGCTATGGTTAGAAAATACAAAAGCGGATCCAATGCAGGACATCATGTGCAAACAGAGGAGGGGACGGAGCTTCTGCAGTCTCTCTCGGCCAAGCCCCGCTGATGGGAGGGGAGAGGTCAGTGCGCACCGAGGTGCTCTGGAGAAGCGTCTCTTCTCAATCCAGGTCGGGTGGGTGGCTGTTGTCATGAAGCTTGGAGAAGGTGGCTGGCGAAAGAGGAGCAGAGACTGAAGATAGGACCAGAGGGGGCGTCTCCCCCCTCCTTCCAGCAGGTGAGTGGCCTGGCCAGTTGGAGGCAGGTTGCTGGCACCTACGGGAAGCCCGTAGGGAAGAGGCTGAGGGGCTGACTCTCGTTGGTGGGCAGTGGAGATCGATAGCCGTCAAAGTTTCTTGGGATGCTGCCGCTGGTAGAACCTGAGCTGTTACTC